CCAAAATCTCTGTAGATGTTCATTAAAATTAATAAAATTTAATAAAAATTTTTAAAAAGTAAAAGAAAAATTCTTTCATTGTTATACAATCCCTCCCCTCAGGTCCACTCCACTATGCAGCCTTCTTTCTAAACTTCTGTCATGACAATACTACCTAATCAGACATCCCTTTTTTAAAAAAAAAATTTATTTTATTTCATTATCTTTTTTGTGTGTGTGTACCATCAAATCAGATCTGACCGGTACAGGAGGAGATTGTTCCTCCTTCTCCAGCAGAGCATCTGGTGGATTTGAACCCAGATATCCCTTTTAAACAGTTCTCTCCTTCATCTGTTTCAATGCGGTATACATTATTGAACCCATCTTTCTCAGTCTCCCCCAACCCCAATGTCAGTCCTGTTTTATAACACTGGCACTATGCAGTATTTGTCCTTTTGTGACTGAGATATTTCACTCTGCATAATCTCCTCCAGGGTCACCCATTTTGAACAGAAGCTTAAGTGGGAAAGAAACAGAAAGAAGCTGGGCCAGAAGACCAGCCCCTTCCCCCCGCTTTACCTCAGGTCCGATGTTCAGGTAGCAATCAATGGCAAGCACGGGGCTCCTGAAGTTCCGGACGGCTTTGGGGAAGAGTTTGTAGGAGGCCTGCTGTAGGAACTTCTCCAGAAGGAACTGGGGGGGGGCCGCCAGCAGTGTGTGCTCACTGTCTGGAGCGCAGATGTACTGAAGGGGCGAGATGGGCGCCAAGCTCTCCGACACCTGAAATCAAGAGCCACAACGGTCACTGGCAAACGAGTGTCCATCCCTGGGCGAAAGGGCAGTGCGACCCTGCACTTGATCCTAACAACTGTCAAAACACTATCTGATGCTAGGTTCAATGAAAGCCTGCCATTCTTGGGTCCTGGACATGTCTTCCCTGCCCCATACCACCTTGAAGACAGCAAACAGGATTTAACAAAAATTATACACAGCAAGGACTGGGGTACACAGGCTTCTGGAAGGTAAATGTATTTAGCCAGTCCACTGGGCGAGCCATCAAGAGAGCTGCTCATACTTCCGTATTCCTGTTGAATGTATGGGTTAAACTCTGTCCTGTCACAACCCAAAAAGGCAAAGACGCTTCTAAACTCCACTAGCTGCTCCACGTGAATGAGAAGTCCTTTAACTGGAGAAGGGGCAGGCAATGCACCCTTAACAGATTCTGATCTTCATTATTCTTAAATCGGACAAGGGCCTCAGTCAAGCTCCTTGGTGACAATCATGTGGTTACGTTTAAAAAATGTGAAAATGTAAACCTTGCCATGTTGAAACTAAAGCTTTGACTTGAGTCAAGGCTTATACTGAAAGGAACTAGTAAAGGACAAGAGAAATGCCTCAGACTCGTTGCCATGGACTCAGAGCTGACTCAGTTCACCCCACAAGTGTACTGAGGTGCTGATCCTCATGGGAGGAGATTCTCCTACGGAGCTAGGAGTGGCCTGGAGCCTGTGGCGAGGTGCCACCTTTGGTCAGCAGCCGCTCTCCCTGGGGACCAGGATACTACCGCTCCCTTCTGACAGAGGATTCCTGTGCCTTGATTCACTTTCCAGTCAAGAGAAAATCATCTACCGGTCCAAGACCTTAACCCCCGAACAGCAAATCACTGTACTCACTTTAACAAGCAGAACTGGGTTGCAAAACTTACCATGACCTTTGGTTTTATAACAAAGTCCCTTTGCCCTCCAACTTGGACATGCTTCTTCATGAGACTGAAGTTATTGAAACGGCAGATGAGCAGGCCACTACTGTTTGTCCTCAAGTTAAAGTCAACGTCCTCACAGAAATACCTAAGTGATAATCACAAAACAGGTTTCTCTGCCTGCCTTCCACATGGCTCTCAACCACAATGCACACAGAAAGTACTATGAGAGCAGGGGACAGTCCAAAAGGGAAATGATTTCTCTCTAGCCCAATTAAACACACCACTAGCCAGTCTTCAACCTCACCCTCACTGAGGGGGCTTCTTTCACAGACCTGAGAACACCGCTGACTCAGGCATTCCAGAAGCAAACCAAGACTGCATTCAAAGTATGCCTGGTGCTCCCATTTTAAAACTCTAGGCTACAACTGAATTTAAAACACGTGAGGATAGCAGCTTCTGTAAAACCATAGGTTGGGGCTGGCTTAACAGGGACTTAGCTGTCCCTGACATTCCTCCTTGACCCTCTCTGATTTTTCAGGAACATGTAGAGAATTCAGGAGACAAGCCCAGGACTAGCTTCCTCATTCCCACTGGCTGGCTTTTCCCACAGGATCCAAATCTCTGGGCCTGTTTACACTTGGAAGAAAGAAATCCCGTGTTCTGAAGGTGGCATGCATGAGGGCTGAGTCGTACACGTGTATGTATTTACATACTGATTTGCAGATTAAACAGCCTGTGTTAGTTCTTATTGAGTAATGGGATGGCTACCATATTCTTAGAAAGAATTTTATTTTGTCACCTCTCCTCTTAAGGGTCTAGGTCTGTTTGAAAGGCGATGAATGGCCATTTCAGCATTTGTGGTGACCCTTTTTTTCTATGTGCAGAACAGATTATCCAGGAGGCTGGGCTCTATGAGGAGAAGTGTGGCATCAGAATTGGAGGAAATTCACCAACAATCTGCATTATGCAGATGACATAACACTGCTTGCTGAAACTGAGGAGGACCTGAAGCGCTTGCTGCAGAGGGTCAAGGACTGCAGCGTTCAGTATGGATTGAGCCTCAATATAAAGAAGACAAAGAGTCTCACCACTGGGCCAACTGGCAGCATCATAATGGATGGTGAAGAGACTGAGATTGTTCACAGCTTTAGTTTGCTTGACTCCACAATCAACAACCTTGACACAAATAGCCAGGAAATTAAAAGACATATTGCGATGGGAAAGTCTGCTGTTAGGGACCTTTCCAAAGTAGTGAAGAACAATGATGTCACTCTGGAGACTAAGGTGCGCCTGATACAGGCCACGGTCTTTGCAATCACTTGCTATGCCTCAAAGTGGTGGACAATGACTAGGGAGGATAGAAGAAGAACTGATGACTTTGAGCTGTGGTGTTGGAGAAGAGTATTAAATATACCACGGACTGCTAAGAAAATGAACAGGTTCATCCTAGAGAGGGTTAAATCATGCTACTCCTTGGAGGCAAGGATTCTGAGGCTTCATCTGACATACTTGGACATGTTGTAAGGAGGGACCAGTCCTTGGAGAAGGACATCATGCTTGGGAGGATGGAGGGATAGCGCAGGAGGGGAAGACCCTCTATGAGGTGGACTGATTCAGTGATTGGGGTAATTGGGGTGGGTATGTCAGAGACAGTGAGATTGGCACAGGACAGAGTAGGGTTTAGGGCTGTGGTACACAAGGTCACTATGAGTAGCAGGCGATTTGGTGGTGCATAACAACAACAACAACAAACAACATTTAAAAAGCTATTCAGCTTTTCAGTTAAAGACAGAGAAACAGGAACAACATTACACACACCAGGGAAGGACAGAAACAACAGGGGTAAGAATGCCATGGCAGTATCTCACATTAGAAAACAGGAAATGCACCTCCTTACACAGGTTCTAACTGTCTTCACAGGAAGCAGAAGCTGTCAATTTTACAATATCAACAGTTAGAGCCCATCCATTTTACTTTGATATTCAATATAGACAGGATAACATATGACAGAATGCAATGACATAATACAATCAATTGATACCAGAACTGATTGTATCCTTTAGGCATGGATAAAAATAATCCTCACAAATAAACCAAAAATTAGTATCATGATAGATGGAGAAATGATGGAAGCAGCCAGGGATTTAACGTTGCTTGGCTTCACACCTACAGCAGCAGCAGTCAAGAAATCAGAGGCTGCACTGCACAGGGCAAACTTGCCAGCAGGGAACTCTTTCAAGGTGTGCCTGACCCATGCCATCGTATTTCAGTTGCTCATTTGCAGGTGAAAGTTGGCCAATGAGTAAGAATGACTGAAGAATCATTGATGCTTCTGAACTGTGTTGGTAAAGAGTATTGCATACCCCACAGGCTGGCAAAACAACAATCAAATCTGTCTTGGAGGAGGCACAACTGGCGTGCTGTTAGAGGCAAGGACAGTGAAACTCTGTCTCACGTGCTTTGGGCATTTTTCCAAGAGGGGCCAGTATTTGGAAAAAGGCACCATGCTTGGAAAAGAAGAGGATCAATGAAAGGAAAGACCCTCAATGAGATGGACTGACGCAGGGATTGTAACAGCGGGCTTGAGCATAGCAGAGACGATGAAGCTGGTGCAGGGTAGGTCAAGGTTCTGATCTGTTGTTCACAGGGTCCCTCTGAGGAGCAGTTGACGTGACCGCACCTGACGTCAGTGCTCGGCTTGCCTTACCTGTTGAAGTCATACTGCACATTCTGGGTGAGGTCTATATTGAGGAGAATGAAGTCGTGCACGTGGCATCGAGAGAAGGAAGTCTTGAGGCTCTGAGAATTCAGCTTACTGCTCCACTTCTGTATGCCCAGTATTGCATAGTGGGCAATTTTTGGTGTGGCTTCAATGTGCTGCAAGACACTCTTCAAGGATACATTCTTACAGCAAACTCCTGCTTCCACGGACTGGCTGTGAGAGACAAAGTCAGCTTATGTAAGATGTTAGCATTACTGTGGGGAAGACCATTCTTGGAGGCACCGCTCCTGTTTCCAGTGGTATGGATACCTGTAAGGATCAAAGTGGTTAGTTTCTTGTCTACTCGCCTTTAATACACAAGGTCATCAGGCCCAGTTTTCACTGTCTGTTCACTGCTCCTATCTGGGACTGGCTTTTACTATTTTAAGGCAGAACAGGAAGCCCAGTCAATATTTCAGAGTGAATAATAAACACAGGGTTACCAAACAGAGGCAGGCTGAAGACAGAAATACAGAACTGCATGACATCCTGGTTCTGAGGATTAGGTGCTAAAAAGGAATATTTGAAAGGTGACTGTTTTCACGTCCACAATGGAAATGAGGAACAGATCACAATGCGGTTTGGGGATCATTTGCATAGTGGTCAATGTGTGTGCTGACATTTTTTGAAGCTCTAGTGTTTATGGATGTCAGAAGAGACTCTGAAAATTGCACTGGAGCGCAGAGAAGCCAAAGCACAAGGAAGAATTCAAGATACTAAAGAGTTGAATAGAAGAT